TCCCCAGGAAAAGGCACACAGTGGAGGGAGTGGGGGAGAGGGATAATATCGATACAACACAGCACATTTCAGAGAGACCTAGGGAAAGCCCTGACATGGGGCTACAGCTGGGTCAGGGGGCATGACTCATGGGGAAGGGCATGAAATCAGCCACCAGAACGTTTCATAGGGCCAGCCGTGGTGGATTTCTTTATTTTGTGAGATTTACCGAAGTTGAGCCTTCTTCCCATGGAAGCCTGTAAAAACAGAGCTAGGATGTTTGTTCTCAAAAATCCATGTTCACAAATAAGGGTATATATGTTTGGATATGTTTGTGTGCGTGTGTGTGTTTTGTGTGACTCTATATACATGACTTGTAAGTGTTTGTGCTATCGTTTGTGTGTATGCCTGAGTGCTCAGTGTGTGTTGTGGTTATCGTGTGTGCATTTTGTGTCTTTTTTTATATGTCCATGCATTTGTGTTGGTGTATGCTTTGTTCATATGTGTGTGGTTTGGTTTTGTGTGATGTGTGTGTCATTTGTTTGATTGTGTGTGTGCACGCACACCCTAGCAGGAGCAAATTCTACTGCATTTTGCACATAGTTGAATATATTACTGGGGGAGGGGCCGGCGGGGAGGGGGGGCGAGGGGAAACTGAGGCACAGACCAGTTGTGAGTGGCAGCACATGAGACCTAATTCTGGCCCTGAGGAACATGCCTGAGACCAAAACTGGTGAGTGTCCAAGCCAGAAGCAGGGTCCAGCTCAGTGCCCCGGGCTGCCCCGCTGCTGTGAAGGCACCATCTATTGGATTCATCAGGACACAGATTCTGACACTCTGGGTGCTGACGTTAGTGGGAGTGGCAGGTCCCAGCACCTCATAGGGCCGGCCTCTAAAAGATCTTGATGCTCCAGAGCTTTGCAGGCTGTTTTCCTGCTCTTACTCTTCTTTGCTGCCACTGCTGCCCCAAAGTTTCAACAGGAGTGGTTACTTTTCCTTCTGGCTATCCAGCTTTCAAGCAGCTTTGCTGTTTGCTGTTTTGTAGTTTCTACAGCACTCTCCAGAGGTGGCTGCATGTCAGTGCTGGGCAAATTGCTCTAGCTGATATTGTGTGTGTATAAACCAACATGTGTGTGTGAGAGAGAGAGAGAGATGAAAGTAAGCGGGTGCGCCCTGGTTCACAGCTCTGGTAAGAGCTGGCTGAGCTGCAGCAAAAGCCAGCAGGGAGCTATTTAAAGAGCTGTCAGGGATCCGGGTTCCAACAGGACAGTATCCGTAAGAAATGTTGTGTTACTTTCCCCACTGGCATTGCATGTGTGTATGATGGAATCTGCTCGTTGCAAAGTTCTGCTGGTTTTGTCAGGACCAAAGCTGCCTTAGAAGTGTTACTCAGGGTTATTTAGGCTGGGCCAGTGGTGGCCATGATGGTTTTTTTAGCAAAAGATTCGGTTGCATGTAACTGATGCTGCGAAAGTTCAGTGGTAAAACCTCCTGAAGGAGTAACAGAAGCTGATAAGTAATGTGTAGAGACACAAATGCTGAGGCAGCAGCTTTAGAAGCATAAAGAAGCACAAACAGCCCCATTATCTTAATATACAAAGTCAATATTTATTTTCAAGGCCCTGGCCCAACCTTCCCCAGCTGCCCCAGCTGGACTCTCCTCCTTAGGAAAACAATGGAATGACAATTAGATGCTGTGTCCCGGAGCTGAGTTCTCTGCAGTACAGGACGGAGAGCCCGGGGGAACCTGTGATCAGCCCCTTTCCCCTCCCAGCTGGGAGAGCTGCAGTGAGTCAAGCACCTGCGCAGAGATAGGACAGGTGGTCAGGACCGAGATGCCCAGGACAGGCACAGTGAGGGAATGGAGTTCGGGATAGAGGGGCTCCCCCGGAGCTGTGAGAATTGGAGCGGGAACTCCCAGCTGGAGAAGCAATGAGGGCAGAGCTGGTTTGAGGGGCCCTGGCAGACCTCTGTGTGTGTGGAGTGTAGGGCTAAGATTTGGGCGGGGGGGCTTTGGGCTGGGCTTGAGGGGCACTGACAGAGCTGTTGTGAAGAGCCCGCGGCTGGAATAACAGGGGTTCTGCAAACACGGGTTTAGGAGAGTCAACGGAACAGGAGGCAGATCAAGACTGGATGGCCAATGTTCTGGGGGTCAGCACCAGCGGCACCCCCTTCTCTAGCCAGCGATACGAGTCCTTTGTTGTCGCCAGTGTATAAAGATTCCCCAGCGCCCGAGTCTGGAGCTGTTGATTGACATTTGCTCCTTCACCTAAGCTGTGCCCAAGGCCCTGAAGCACGGTCCCAGCCCGGCCCTGGGGCCAGGAGCCCTGTCTCGAATGCCAGATGTGAGAGTGCTCTGAAGGGGGCACAAGGGCTGGGGGGGGGGGTGACAATGCGTCAGGGAGACCCCGACCCTGCACCCCCATCCGCAGCGAGATGTGACTCTCAGGCAGCCAGTAGAGTCGAAGGTTTTAGTGCTTCTCACAGACACAGTGCGGCATAGGATCCATGGTAGCACAGGCACCAAGAGCAGACAGCCTTATTCCTCTTGGGGGGAAGGGCTCACGGGCCCTGAACCCCCCTTTCCTTGATCTAAAACATCATCGCTCAACCTAGCCCAGCCGAGACTAACTCAACTCCCCGGCCCTACCCCCCAGCCTGTCTCTTCTTTTGTCTCTCTCTTTTGTCACAGGGGTTATCAGGGGACAGGGTGGTTATCTGCTCCGGCTGGGACGTAGGTGTCTGGGCCAATACAGGTGTGTGGTGAGTCACTGGGATCACACATAGCAACACAGCCAGGTGGGAACACCGCACCCCCACTACGTCACAGTGTGTCCCTCCAGTGAGGTGCATGGGCCTGTCCATTGCTGTCATCAGAAGAGACTCAGGGGATGCGGCTGAATCACTGGCAGCACCAGAGAGCAGAGACCTGGATGGGGACTGGTGGGGTGTTCTATGGAGTCCAGATGGGAGTGGACGAGCCCGTCCCCCGGTTCTAGTAGCCCAGCACCAGAGCTGGCCTCCCCCTGCAGGGGACGTGCCCCCCCCCACCCACCCTCGTCCTTGTGCTAAGGCCCTGCCTGTAAGTCCCCAAAACCTGCCACTCTGCAGCACCCTCCAGTTCTGTGAACCCCAGGCAGCTTGAGGGTTCACTACTGTCCTCGAAGCACTTTGGCCTGGAACAGGGGGTGACAATGACACAAGGTTCCTGCAGAGGGTGAAGCAGGAACAAAGACAAGGAAAGGGGCATCAAAGCCAAGTGGGTGTGCTAAGGCCCTGCCTGTAAGTCCCCAAAACCTGCCACTCTGCAGCACCCTCCAGTTCTGTGAACCCCAGGCAGCTTGAGGGTTCACTACTGTCCTCGAAGCACTTTGGCCTGGAACAGGGGGTGACAATGACACAAGGTTCCTGCAGAGGGTGAAGCAGGAACAAAGACAAGGAAAGGGGCATCAAAGCCAAGTGGGACTTGACTGAAAGTAGAAAGGGAATTTCTATGAAGCCATCCAAGAAGCTGGCGCCAAACAGAGCAGTGAGCTGCTGCCTTGAGCCCCTTGGCCATCTGTGAGGAAGCAGCTTCCCTTATCACTGAGGGGATAAAGGCTCTACTACTGTGGCTGGTGGTGACCGAGGGAGCCCTCCCTTAGCTCAAGCTGTAGAGGCCTGGGCTTTTGGGGCTGAGGAGCTAGGGTTCTAGCCTGGGTTACAGTGCAGATGGGGAGTCTCAGCCAGGCTTGCGGTGAGAAGTGGGCTTCAGGTATGAGCTTGGGTCCAGGCAAGGCTGAATTGGAGAGATTAGCATGGAGAGAAGAGGGGGTGCAGTTGCTCAGCATGAACCTCTCCCAAGGGGAGCCCCAGCTGCCTGTGGATGGCCAGTGAGGAGCTGATGGGGATGGGAGGACAGACTCACATCCAGGTAAGGGCCAGGACATCCCTGGCTGGTTGTGACCATGGCTTCTCCAGTCCACGTAGCCTGGTGGTGCTGACAGTGAAGTTGCCTGGGTCCTTTCGGGCTGATCCCAAAGCTGAGGTCTCCAGGCATCCCTCCCTTCAGAGACCTCATTATCCTCCCCTTTCCCCACTCCCTTCCACCACTGCTCTCAGCTCGTGGGGGCTGCAGGGAGCTCAGCCCTCAATCAGGTGAGGGCAGACAGGGAGGGTGCCTGAGCCATGGGTTGAGGGAGGGGCTCTAGACCTGGATGTGCAGCTAATAACCCCCTCCCCTATGTGGTCCAACTACTTGGGCTTTGCCTAGGGTTCCCCCAGACTTCAGCTGCCCACACCCTGGCATAGGTAGCATTTCAGTGAGGCTCACAGGCCATGCCGGAGGCCCGTCTAGCGGTGGCTTTGTTAGCTCCATGGGTGGGGGTGCTGCAGCACCACCTGGCTTGAAGTGGTTTCCAACATATCCAGGGTTTACAGTCTGGTTCAAGGGCTCTCAGCACCCCCACAAATGGTTCCAGCAGCCCTGGTTGGCTTTCCAGCTGCACCACCGAGCTGGGTCTCCCCCATCACCAGTCGCTGGCATTTTGTACCGTTCCCTGTAACAACACTCCCCCCCCCCCCCCCCCCCCCC